ACCTACATAATTGTGCATTTTAATAGAGAGAGTACGGAATCCAACGAACCAAAATGCGTTGATATCGGTTATGCGGAGTAATATACGAAAATTACCAATATATAATATAGTAATATATATATATATATATATATATATATATATTTATATAAATATATATATATATATATATATGTATATATATATATATGATATATATATATATATATGTATATATATATATATATATATATATATATATAATATGTATTATACATTATATTACTATTTATATATATATATATATATATATTATATTGTACTTATACCTATACCATGTATATATATATATTATATATATATATATATATATATATATAATATATATATTATATATATTTCTACTCTCCCTTCATCTTTCTTTCTCCCTATTTCTTTTTTCTTCTCTTTTTTGCACTTTCTCACTCTCTCTCTATCTATCTATCTCTATCTATCTATGTATCTCTCCCTGTTCCTCTCCCTCTCCCTCTCTCTCCCTCTTCAGTCCATCTATCCATCAATCAATCTGTCCATCCATTAATCCATTCATTATCTAAATCTATCTATCTCCATCAGTTAGTCAGTCCATCAATCCATCATTAATCATCTTCAATAATTATCTATCCCTTCACAATCAATCATTCCCTTTAATCATCACATCCTAATCATCATGTCATCAACAATCACCATCATCATCTTCAATCATTATCATCTACCATCTATCATCATCACCATCACCATCATTATCATCATCACTCTCATCATCACCATCACCATTATCATTATCTTCAGTCATCATCATCATCATCACTATCATCATCAACAGCAGCATCGACCTCGTTCTTATCATCAACACCGGTCGTTATCATCATCATTATCACCAGCGCATCGGCGTTCTTATCGCGGAAGATCGCCATTCATACTTACAAAGGGACACAAAGGCTGCAATTGGCCTACGCCGTAACGCAAAGATATTGTGTGCCCGCCATTGACACCTATTATCACTTACTCACGTTGGTTACCTGTTATCGTATCGTCGAAGCTATCGGCCAGTTTGTTAAAATTGTGGAAGGTCCGACTCAATGAATATTCATATATACATGCATATTGACAAAAAGGCATATCTGTCTATTTGTATGATGGATATACGTTTATCTATCTATCTGTCCGGCAGATATGCATGTCTTAGATTGAATGTATTTATTTCGGTATGAGTGTGTCCGTATAATGAAGATTCATAGAGTCGGGTTTCGTACAATTATAAGAAACCGGTCGAAAGTTAGGAGTCGCAAACGCTTCACTTCTGCTGCTGTGTCCATTCACCACCAGCTACCACATCGGAAAAAATGATAACCAACTTCAGTCTATCACGACCGGGAATTCGACAGATGGGATGGAATCTATGATAAGACTTGTCACAGATTCCCTTTCATAAATCACGGCGATTGCGAGTGAGCTTTCTCGGGGTTTCACTTTGGGAGTTTTGGGCTTCACAACTGTATAAGAAGATGGTCATTTCGTATTTGTGCTACTGAATAAAGGGAAAATTTTACTCTATAAGAAGAGATAGTCACGGTATTTACATTTACGATACAGACTATATAGCAGAGAACCTATATGTTGAGTTAATAGACAAAATGTCATTAAGGTACTTTATGCTAATATCCTCTCAGACAATAATGACAAATATTCTCTTTGATGTGTTACATTCTCCAACCATGAAGCGATACTAAGTAATATCAATTTGGCAGCCATACCAAAGAAACCGCATATTGTTAAATGGACTAGCTTTTAAAATGCTTCTTAAAACATGGGTTAGAAATAATAAACTCGAAGGAGCCTGAACCATCGTCCACTTGTTGTTCTTTCAAGAACAAAAAAACATAATTCCAAACAAGGTTTCCAGATCGGGATGAAGCTACACTCAATACTTTAAGCGGCGAAACAGGGCCGTCTGCTTTAAACGACAAAGAGGTTCTATATTATATGAACTGATTCTACTTACGCCTTAGAGGAGTTTCCTGAAGACCACCTAGGAAAGGTCAAGCAATGTAACCTTGGCTCTTGCGTTATTGATAGAAGACGGAAGTTTATACATAGCACCCCGCTGCTCTACAAGCAAGTTTTCAATTTTGGAGGCTATTTAAGATCTTTTGATAAATGTCTGCCGTTTTAACTTGCGACGTGGAAGAAATGTCAATTGGAATCTACCGTGTATACGACATAACATACAAAACATGCATATCAAGCAGGGATGTGTGTATATACGTAAACATTCCTTTGATGTCACCCTCTTTCTATGTTCAACTAAATAGGGATGGGAAAAACAGGAACACAACCGACTGTCAAGCATGATTTCTACTCGTTCTCCATGGAAACTCAGAGTACCTTGCTCTGTCTCAATGAAGTATTATGAATAATTTGTGAAGAATGTCAACAGAAGTTCCGAGGTTGACAGGCCTCTGTGCAATGTATAAGCCCTATAGTTCCCAAACACATCAGTCTAGGGGCAACTTTTAAAGCAAAAAGAGGAGTTCACAGTTGTAAGAATAAACAAAACTACATTTTAACAGCCTGAGAAAAATCACTTGAGTCCTTTGCCTGAGACAAAATTAATGCCTGAAATGTGTTCAGAGGGTGGAGTGAGGGGAGGCTGGAGAAATGTGTATTCGAAAATCCCACCAAAACACTGAGGAAAATTCCTGTTAGTCGTCATGTTCTTCAACTTAGCTGAAGCCGAGTTTCCGTTCGGTTGGAATGTTTTGGAAATATGAATCAGTGTCACAAAACTTTTAGGTATATATTTCCGAGAACTTCGTGTCAAATTGTTATAACAATATCACACACATGTGAAATATATAACAGTGTGTATATGTGTGTGTGAGAGAGAGAGAGAGAGAGAGAGACAGACAGGAGAGAGGAGAGCACGTGCTCATCCATACACCTCATCAATCACACCACTGAACTTCTGTCTCGGAAAACTTGGAATGACTGATTGGAAGCCTATCATGGTAACGCTAAAGTAGATGCCGGCTGATTGCAGATTTCAGATCTGCTGACGGTCTAGACATAACCATCTCATACGAGGAATTGAGAGACCTTACACAGACATTTAATCAAACAGCGAGAAATCAATTATAGTTACAGAAGACATAGAGCAAATAGGATTATCAAGACCTAGACCAAATTGCAGTACTATCAGAAGCACAATAGGAAATATTTTACAGTTGTAAAAATAAAGGACACTACCTATTAGGAATTACTTAGCCAAAGAGATAGGGGTGGGGGAAAGAAGCCCTTATCTAGGCTCAAAAGAAGAAAATTCCAAAAGTTAGTCCCGTCACTCGGTATGACGGTACTCTTCTGCCAACAAACACTGTCATGTACTAAAATCACCAAGCGCATGTGCAAGAGGACAGGGGAACCAAGACTCTTCAAGGCTGTTAATAAGGAAAGCAATACAGAAAGAACAAATATAGAGGAATTACGTTGGACATATAGTAAACACGGCACGACGGAGAGTTCAGAAAAAAGGGGGAAGATGCGATGGCCTTGTAGCTATATTGTCCAGACGAAGCAATATAACGGAAAGACCTTCAGCCCCGTTGTGTGTTTCCTGTTCCCTCCTTCTTTGTTTTGTTTACTTAAGGAAGAAATGGGGTTGAACAGAAGCCGGATACAGACATTAGACGCAGAAAAAATGAAAATGTTAGTGGATGAACAGTGTAACGAAACCCTTAAAATTTTGATATTGGAAAATTTAAGAAACACTATAATAGATATAGTTTCCAAAGGAGTAAGAGGAGAGATCAGAGTCATAGGAAGAAAATAAAGAAATTAGGAAGAAGATCATCGACATGGAGGGGCAGAGACGGTGAGGAAAATTACTACTTAAGAGAGATGAAGATACCGCGAATGACCTGGATAAGACTGAGTTATGAAGAGAAGAGGTGAACGACCGAAAAGGCTGGAAAAGACTGGGTAAGGCAA